GTACGTATCTGGATTCTATATGTTCGTCCGTCCGTCCGTCTGCATTTGATTAAATTTTTAAATTTTGACTTCAGATTCGGAAAAAGCATCAAAATAACGTATAGGGGATCAGCATTAAAATTTTGATATCTCTTCGGTAACATAGAAAAAATGGCGACAAAAGTAAAAAAATTTTAGGTAAAAATTCTAAAGATAAGTATTTTATAGAATATTAAAAATAAGGTATAATAAATCGATTATTTTTTGAAAAAATAAATGCAAAAGTATACAATAAAATTAATTTTTATTTTGACATACTGAATCATTTAATACCCCACATAACAATAGTTGAATTTATTTAGTCATACTGATCATTTGATACCCCAAATGACCTCAATTTTTAATTCGGATTAGGAGTTCTGATGGAAATGCTTTCTAGCATTCTCAACTGGTATTAATTAATAATCGAATACTCATGTTGACTATACATTATTAGTCACATTGTATCAATTTATATATCTATTTATGATATATCATATAAAATCAAATTTATTTATTAGTATTAATATTTTTTAAATAAAATAGAAAATAATTTAATAAAAATATTTTTTTTTTAAATTTATAATAAAGTAAATATATTAATTATATTTTTATTTTTTGTTAAAAATGCTTATAAATAGTTTAAATTATTTATGCATTTATAGTATAGTTTTGTTGTTTATTTGTTTGTTCAATAAAACTAAATGTATTGATTTAAATCTAATATATGAAAACCATTATTTTGTAAATCAATTATATTTACATTTTATTGAATCCAATGTAAGCCATGAATGTAAACAAATTGTTGATTATTTGGTTAAACATCCCAACGACAGGACAACACTTAAAAGTATTTCTATTAAAAAATTAATTATTTATTTATATAAATATTATTTTATCAGTGATTGATTCGAGTGCTGTCATCGGCTCCGGTATTATTGAAGGAAACTTTCAATATATGGGTCAATACAGTGAATGTATTGGCAATAGTGCCGACATTATGATTGACAAACAATTACACAGATTTAATGGACAGTATTGTACTTTGAATATGAATATTGATTATATATTTGATAAAATAATATCAAACAAAACGGTTAATATTATTTTATTATATTTATTAAATTTACTTTTTTTAAATATTTATTAATTATTAAAAACTATATTTTTATGTATTATTTGCAGAAACTGTATAAATATTATAGAAATAATTATAAATCAAAGATTGGTATATGTTTTCCAGATTCATGTAATGAACACGATTTTAACACAGTTTTTCAATTATGTAAATATATTTTGATTTTGAAATTTAAAAATATTGAAAAATTATATAAACCAAAAACTATGTGATTTATATAATATTTTAATAAACAAAAAAAGTTAATTATTTTCACAATAGACAAAGTAAGTCTCTGAAAACATATATATAAAATCCATATAAATTATATGTTATCTATATTATAGATACAGTATTATAGCAAACAGTTTACTGTTCACTAAATACATTAGTTTTTTTATGATTAACGATGTTTTTGTGATAATTGGTTTTTAATTATATGTTGAAACAACAATAAATTATTGAAATTAAATATATTTTATTTTTGTTTTTCTTAATTTTAGTTTACAATAAATCTGCTATCAAATTACTTATTGATAATTGTGATAGTGTTAATCATAATTACAAACTAATGTGGTATCACATACTTATTATGTAAGTTACAAAATATTTTATTTAACCTATTAAACATAACTGATAGTAATATAATAAATACAATGTTTAAATCTAATTAAAATTATTTAATTTTATTTATAAAAAGTTGTTGTTTTACTTTAACTGGTATTTTAATAATTATCGGAACATTTATTGATTGCAATTGTAAATTCAAATTAAGTATTTTTTTAATTAATAGCTTAAAAAACAATGTTAATTAATATTTTTTATATTATCTTTTATAACCAGTATTAAATTCATCCAACAAATTGATTAAATCTTTGGTTGCATTTTCATTGTACACAAATACCAGACAATTAGTAACAGTTGGAAACCAATCGATAAATACAATCAATTGTTTTCATGGTTTACGTGTTTTCAGTTTGTTTTTTATAATATGTAGTCATATTAATGATTTTTTTGTTGATAATAGTAAGTTTATTTTTTAAAACACTTTTTAAAAATAATTTTAATTTATAAATAATATGCTCACTAAAATATAAGTTTAGATTAAAATAAAAATATTATTATATAGATATTTAATAATAACTTTTTTAATATAAAATTTTGACATTTTATTTATCACAAATAGTATTTTATTATAATATAAATGTAGATTATTTATTTATTGATAAATCACCATTTTATCACTAATACCATAGCTTATTATTTACTAAAAACTATTTTTAATATATATATTGTGTTAACAGCTGGCGCTCAACACAACATCATAAGCGGCAGCATTGCATTATTTCAACGACTCTACCGTTTCCGCAACAGTAGTAGTCGTTTAGCTTTCACAGCGTTTAGTCGCATATTTTATATTTAATAAAATCGTTTGCTTTCATATAAAAACGTGTACTTATTTCGTATACTTAACCGAACCCGAGTTATTTGCCGCCTGATCAACGGCCACTCAACTCAATTGGCGCAGTCGACTGAGATACTTACCTCGCGGATATCGAAAGTAAATCGACTTCGACGACCTACTCACCGAAGACTTTTGAATTCAAAAAACAACGGTTTTTTGTCGCCTTAACGGCTCTCATCGATTCAACGGTTTTTCGTTAATAAAGCGTTTTAAAGAAACGATACGAAGACAACGATGTCTCAACAATTACGTAGTGGCCGAACACTACCGCCATTCAGTAACGAACTTAATGTACCGACGGGTCCGAACGGGTCCGAACGGACTCAACCCGACTTCCGAAGACACGAATGAAGACTTGTCGTCAATCGCTTCAGACTTAGAAGCATTGTCGCGCGATATGGCCGACGACCCGACACAGGATGGATTAGCACAACGTTTGGCAACGCTGACCAGAGCTGCTCAAGTGGCCGCCGCCGCACGAAATGTGATTAACAATCGCAATACGGCATCGAGTTTATCGACTACAAGCGTACAGAGATTGGACTCCGATGCCGATACCTTAACAACACGACCGCATAGTACCGTAAAACACGCATCTAAATTATGTGAACCATTTATAGGCGGTTCCTCCGTAACTCCTATCGACGAATGGCTCGATGGCTTCACCGCTTTGACATACGATTATAACGACTACGAGAGGCTGCTTGCGCTCGCCAAACACTTGACCGGCGATGCCTTCAGCTGGTATTGTCGTGAAGTCGCCCGAAAACTTCCAAACCTAGCCTGGGCCGAGTGCCGATCTCTTATGATTGCGCGTTTTGGTCGTATGGTTGGTCACGGTCTTGTCGAAGCCTCCGACCGAAAACTCAAAGCTAATGAGAGCGTACTCACGTATTATCACGAAATGCGCCGCCTTCTGGACGAAGCGCGCGCCTCCGACGAACAACAGATAGGTCTACTCACGAAGGGTATGCCCGACTACTACAGGCCGCTGATTGCCTGTCAACGACCGACAACGCCTCAAGAATGGCTACAAATAGCGCTTCTCGTCGAAGAGACACGAAAAAGAAATAAAAGTTTTAACGTTAACGCTATCGACGACGAAGACGGCCAACCCAAACGTAATCGTTGGAAAAAGCGACAGAATGGTAACAATGATAGGCCACCGACTCCATGTCCACGATGCCGACGACACGGCATAACCGAATATCACTGGATGCGCGTCTGTACGAGAACAGAACCGAAAAATCCGGATCCAGTGGTTAACGCTGTCTCGCATACTGAACGATATCGAGACATACGAATTAATGACAAACCCGTACGAGCTTTCATAGATAATGGCGCCGACATTACTATCTTATCGAAGGATGTCGCAAAACAAATGAAACTCCGACCGGACGCGCGACATAAGACCAAAGTAGGTACCATCGCCGGCGATAAGTATACACTCGGTGTCGTCAACGTTAAGATTCAAATGGACGGACACACCGAATACGTAACGATTCACGTAATGGACATCGCGTACGATGTTCTCGTTGGACTCGACATCGCAGAAATGAAGACAACTGTGCGCCTGCGAAGTCAACGACATATCTCGAATAAACCGAAAGTCGCACATATGACAGTCAAAAAAGTCGGTATTGTCACCGAAAATAATCGCATTAATCGTAAAGACAATCGTAAGTATGACATACCGCCGACTCCTTGTCCTCGATGTCTTCGACACGGTTTCACCGAATATCATTGGAAACGTCAATGTCGACGACAGGAGCCGATCAAATCGCATAACAAATCGTTTAGGTGTTCCGGCAGTAGTCCGCGAATACCTCAAATTGGTTTGTTTACCGTTAAGCGTGATATCACAAATTACAGCGAAAAGAAACATCCACTAATACGACCACCTGCGACACCGATTGGACGTCTACCACAAGACAAACACCGACGGTTTGATGATAAACAAGACCGTAATCACCGAAACACATCACCGATTGATGTACGTGATCGCATTACCCGAAGGTCGCAAAATTCGGACAATATACGCAGTTTCGCGGCCGGGGAGTGTGTTAACAGCTGGCGCTCAACACAACATCATAAGCGGCAGCATTGCATTATTTCAACGACTCTACCGTTTCCGCAACAGTAGTAGTCGTTTAGCTTTCACAGCGTTTAGTCGCATATTTTATATTTAATAAAATCGTTTGCTTTCATATAAAAACGTGTACTTATTTCGTATACTTAACCGAACCCGAGTTATTGGCCGCCTGATCAACGGCCACTCAACTCAATATATATTTAGAAACTTAAATTTAAATATTTAAAAATTTAATTAATAACTATTTATTTATTTACTTACTTATTAAATATAATTAGCAACAAATTTAAATGACGTAATACAGTTGCGTTCATCATTTATGATGCAAATTATAACAAACGCTATGCTATGGGTGGATATATTTTTCCTGTTATCGGGATTCCTGTGTGCGTACAGTGTTTTACGTGAAGTCAAACAAACATCTGTTCGTAAATATGCCGGAAATATCTTATGGAAAATAATTCATCGCTATATTAGACTCACGCCATCATTGATGGCAATGATCGGATTTTCCATAATATTGGAAGTGATGTCTTCGGGTCCGCATTGGTATCAATACATAGATTTATCTCAACAATCGTGTCATAAGAAGTGGTGGATTAATATACTTTATGTAACAAATATACCGTCTGTTTATACATCACTTACAGAAATAGTAAAAAACCATCAATTATTTGCTAATCTATTTATTTTTTAGTTTGAAATTTTAAATACTATATTTTTAGTCAAGTTTATATACTATTTAAAATTTTCAACAAATACATAAGATATTTTTTATTAGTTTATCATTTTTCTAATTACTATAATATATATATATATATATATATATATATATATATATATCAGTGTTTGGTTCATACGTGGTATTTGTCAGCCGATATGCAAATGTTTATAGTGTCACCCATTTTTATAATACTATTGACGTGCAATGATATTAGGTATTATACCGTATAATTATTTTTCATGTATTTTAATTTTATTTTTCTAAACCTTAGAAAACAATATTTAGGTATAGCAATAAATATAGTTGTAATATTAGCATCATGGACAATTATTGCTATAAATTTGGTTAACAATCATGCTGTACCTGCTGATCTTAAATTTTTATTGTATGAGTATTCAAATTCAAATCAATTAAATACAAAAAAATAAAAGAAAACAATTTTTTATGTTTGAACAAAATAATAAAATATATTAGACTAATATACACTGTCTATACATTATAATATATAACAATTTTTTATATACAATTTATTAATAATTTAGTAATTAAAAATTAAACTAATAATAATTATTGTTTTTTTATAGCAATGATGTACATAATGTTTTATATCTTTTAACATCCTATTGTCGTATACCTGCCTATTGTATTGGTATATTAATGGCGTATATCTATAATAAATTTGGCAAATTAAACATCAATTGGGTTTAAATGATTTTGTTATTTAAATTTTCGTTATTTATTATTTAATTTTTCTAATATTTAGATAACTAATATACTATTATGTATATTATGTATTGGCATAAATGTGGTCATTATTTACTCAACATATTTCTGGTTTTTGGGTTATAGTTATCACAACTTTGGTAGTGTATTGTATGGTACTATTCATCGTACCGTTTGGTCAATTTGTTGGTCATATATACTATATGCCTGTGCCAGTGGACGGGGAGGTATTATCAATCGGATACTCTCGTGGTCAGCATTGGTGCCGTTAAGTCGACTGTCTTTTCAAATTTATTTGTTTCATTTTGTTTTAGTATTAGCAATAAAAGCAGCTCTACGTCAACCATTATATTTTAATTCTTTAACAATGGTAATTTTTAAATATTTATATTTTACTATTGTATTAACTAAAAATTAATAATATTGTTAATTGTCCTAGGTAATGTTGTATTTTTCAATAACTGTGTTGAGTTTATTTGTCAGTTTCTTGGCTTATGTAATGTTTGAAATACCAATCGCTAAAATCGAGAATATTATTAAAAAGAAATAAATATAATTATAACAATTATAACAATATATTTATATATATTATACTTTTATTGTTTATATATCTAATAAATAAAACAATATTTATTGCTTTGAATCTAATATATGAAAATCACTATTATTATAAACAGCATGATGTATTTGTCTATATGTATAATATTATATGTATTTTAATATAATAATAATGAATTATTTACAATTAAAATGAAATAAGTTTTAATTTTGTATTATTAACAATGAATCTTTTTATGAAACTTATTATTATTATTATGTACTATTATTAACTTATAATTTTATTCAATGTATTTATTTTTTAATCTAAATAGTTTATTAGATATATTAATAGTTTGTAATTTTTATTTTTTTTAACTTTTTACAATAATTTTGGTTGATTTTAGTTTATGAGGTGACCCTTGTGTTATTATTTTGACGTTTAAAATATGACTTAATTTATTACTACTATAGCATATATACAGTTTATACTGTATATATAGTAGCAATTTTGTCTTATATAATAATTTATTTATTTTTGCCGGCTTTTACTGTACAATACTTTTAACTAAAGGCAACATAAACGTAATTGTACTTAAGTTAACCTTGATGGATATTTAACTAAATATTTTATGTAGTACTGTATAAAATTTACTGTTTGCTATGTATTTAACCAATTTCTATATAGTCATACAGTATTTACAATATATACTGTATATATAATAAATAATATTAATACAAATCTACAACTAAGTGATACTTATTTTCAAATATATTAATATTATCAAGGTTGATTATTAGATGTGCACTTAAATAATATACAGTAAGATATATAAAAATACTTTAGTGCAATGTAGTACTAATAATAAAGTAACATTTTTATACTTTATATAAGTAAATTTTTAAAATAATTTTTTTTATAAAAGTAATAAACAATATATATTTTGATTTAATAAACAACAACAAAATAGTCAAATGTTTTTTATATATTAGTTATGTTTAAATATCTACATTAAATTTATGACTACATGTAGTCAACTATATTGTATTAATACAATAAAATAAAATAATAATATTGTATAATAATAATAATTCAAAATATGAATATAAAATTATTAGTATTGTGTTATTTAGTTCATAACATTGTGTGCACCGATAATAGCAAACAGTCTTTGGATGTAACCACCAGTTCGGGTGTAGTGCGAGGACAGACACTTCATATACTTAATAAAAATGTTAACCAATACTTGAACATACCGTTTGCCGAACCACCGGTCGGTAGATTAAGGTTTGCCAAACCCGTACCATTAAAAGTAGCTAAAAATGTAAGTATATATATAAGATATCATAAAAATGTTTTTTTTTAAATATTTCATTATAATAAAAAAAATAATCAATTAATGATTAATTATAAAAAATATATTGTATTTAGGATATAATTGACGGTAAAAATCCAGGCTATAGTTGCATACAAAACTTGCCTCCGGGTTATGAGGAATTGTTTGCCGGACTCAATCAAAACGAGGACTGTCTCGTGCTTAACGTTTGGTCGCCAGACCATAGTTTGACAGATAATACCGGTAATAATAATCAACTTAAACCGGTAATGTTTTGGATATATGGCGGCGGACTATCAATGGGATCCATATTTCAAGACATGTATAATGGATCCGTGTTGGCGGCCACCGGTGATGTGGTAATAGTTGCGGCCAACTATCGAGTCGGTGCTCTCGGCTTTCTGTACGGTGCCGATAATAGTGCACCGGGAAATGTAGGACTATATGACCAACTGTTGGCACTCAAATGGGTTAGAGATAATGCTCAGGCATTCGGTGGTGACAGGGATAGGATAACCATATTTGGTGAATCGGCTGGCAGTATGTCCGTATCGGCACATGTACTGTCACCGCTATCGAGTGGACAGTTTCGTAGAGCTATTATGTTTAGCGGTTCCGTTATGTATAACAAAGACCGGCCTATTATTGATACAATAGAAGCACTGGAAAAGTCAAAACAAAAAGCCAAAGAACTGGGATGCGATCCATACGACTATCATTGGTTGGACTGTTTGCGAGATATTAGTGATCCGAAACTATTTAAAGATCCGCCCGTCAGTAACGGTCTTTCTTCGAGTATTTTTCCCGTAATTGGTACTGAATTTTTGCCACAATTACCGCAAAAAGCATTTGAACTGGGTCAGGTTAATACAGGTATAGTTTTATTTATTTATAATCTCTCTCTCAAATATAATCTCTCTCTCTCTCTTAGTGAGAGTTGGATTATATTTTTCTCTACAGTTAATACCATTACTATACTATTTATAATTACTTTGTTTTGTAATTACTATTTTTAAAAATAAATGTAATTTTAATGTATTTTATTAAATATTTATTATTTTAATTATTATTATTTAATTTTATACAGATATAGATATACTGTCGGGTACGACAACACACGAGGGACTATCAATGGCATTGATGTTGTTTCCGGAAACAATGGGTTCACAGTTAACAGTTGAACAGTTTACCACAATTTTAGCTAAAGTTGATCAATCGTTTCATAACTTGGATATTGCAAATATAACAAAATATTATCTCAATAATGTGGACACCACTAGTGTACATGACATGCGTATGGCACTGGGAGATCTAATGGGTGATCTATTTATGGTGTGTCCAACGTTTAAGTTTGCAAAAACATTTGCTCAAAATAGTCGAAATAATAATGTCTACTATTATCAATTACAATATAAAGCTGAAAATAGTTTATCAGCACCGTTAGATAAAGCACTGGGATTAGATGCCAGTGTTGTACATCATGGATCGGATATTGAATTTATATTTGGCATACCTCTACTCAAACCGGAAGGTTATAGCGAACTGGACTATGATTTTAGTCTACATGTAATGCAATTGATTAGTAATTTTGCTAAATATGGGTATGTATAATATATTTGTATTTAAATTATAATTGTTTTAATTAAATTGTTTTTATAAAAATCTAAATATATTATTATTATTAAACTAATTAGTAAACCAGATAATGATTGGCCAAAATTATTGGACACTAACAGTAAAGATAGCATAATTGTGACCAAAATACGTGCGCTAACACCGCACGACTTGACAAGTATTATAGATAACCCATTTGATAGCACGTGTGGCGATGTTTGGAAATATTATTTTTAAAGTAAATTTGTTATTTAAAAAAATAAATAAATAATAATTATACAAATTAATATTTTTTAAGTCAAATTTATTTGCATTAAATATTATATAAAAATAATTATAATTATAATTATAGGATATTAAACTAAGGTTTAAAGTATTTTTAAAAATTAATAGATATATATATTTATATAAACTTATTATAATAATTGATTTATATGTTAATAAAATGTTTACTTCATTTAAGTTATTATTTATCCGTACCCTCCAGTCTAGTCTCTCTCTCTCTGCACAGTTAGATGTATGACCTGTTGATCACTTGTAATGTTATCCAAAGCACCCGTCAATTGATTCAAATCTGTCAGTTGTGTCTCGTTTACTGTAGTTATAATATCATTCAATTGTTATGTTTATTGTATGTATTAATAAATATAATATAATAATAAAGTTTATACTGTATTTAAAATTATATACTGTAATTAGTTAACTGATTTAATTAAAAAAAAAGAAAATCAATTCAAATTGAATATCAGTTTAATATAAATATCTAACTCATCTAACTATCGTATTGTTAATAGATTTAATTAACTAAACTCTTTGAGTACACTGTTTGATTAATAGTAAATTCATTTATAATATAATATATTTTATTTATTATAGTACTATGGGGAACTACCTAGTTATATAAAAAATAAACAATAAATCTATATAAGGCTGTTCTATAGTATAGCTCCCACTTGTTGAGCACGCGATTATTATTTCCATATATTTATATGTATTTTAATTTAGTTTAGGTTAGGTTAGGTCACGTGCGATTCATAAATTTAACGTTAAAACTGTATTAAATAATAATCGCGTGCCAACAAGTGGGAGCTATACTATAGAATCCCCCTATATAATATAAAGTTTACCGGTTATGCAAATATATATATAAAGGAAATTACAATTATTTCTATAAATTTTATTAATAATTTTGATATTTATTATTATCATTAAATATAGGAATGGATTTCAAACTTATAAATCTTGAGGAAATAGAAAAATATATAAATTTACAAAAGACATCAATAAATTGATGATATTATTCGAAAGCATTACTAAAATAAAATTATATCGTAAAATAAGTAAATTAGGCTAATTTAAAAAAAATTAAAATAAAGTAATTATAAATATAACAATTCAAAATCAAATAATTAAAAAAATCAGATTTACTAACGGTATTGAAAAATCCCAATTACCTAAACTTAAACCTGTTTTTCAAATTAATTAATTATATTTTTAATAAAAATTAATAAATAAAAAATAATTAATAAAAAATTTTTATTTTTAATTAATTGTTAGTATCTATTTATTTATTTATCTATACTACTATATAATTTTGAAATGTTTGTAGCAAATATCTGTGACGCAAACAATTACTTTTGATGTGTCGCGCGATTATTAATAATTTTAATTTATTAAATACAAAATAAATTAAATCTACTTTTTATAATACACTGTATATTAGATAGCGCGTGAAAGCATTGTTTAGTAAAGAGATAGATTGAGAGATAGAGAGAGAGAGAGAGAGTGAGAGAGAGAGAGAGAGAGAGAGACAGAGACAGAGAGAGAGAGTATTGTTGCACGTGTTAACTATTGATACACATTTTATTACATGGATCTAGTATTATAGATTACTAGTATTTTTAAAAATTTAATTTTATACATTATTTATTATTGTTTATTATTTTTTTATGTATTATAATACGCGCGCTTATAATTTGTATATTGCCTTAAATTCTTTATATGTTATGTAACTTTATGTTAGATAATCTCGATTAACAATAAATAATCTTTTAATTTCTCTCTCTCTCTCATTTTTGTTGTAATTATTATTTATAATTTCTATAAAGTTATGAGATTTTTATATCGAGACCTAATAATAAAAAATATTTATTATTAAGAAATATATTTTGAAATTTATGAAATAATATTTTTGTAAATATTTGTTGTCCACTAGAATTTGTTTATTATTATTATTATTATTTTTTGTGTGAATATTAATACAGCAAAATAAAAACTTGTCAGTGATTTTTATATTATGAATCGATTGACACATAAATATCAATTGAAAACATTTGTAAACTGGTTAGTGATTTAATTTGTCTTAAAAATAAAAACAATTTTATATAAATACATACATTTGTTTCAGTATATATAGCTTACTATCATCGGTTGGACCAACTGATAAATATCATAGAAGTTATGGTCAATTGTGGTCATCAGTAATATCAAAACCATTGCAATCATCAGCACCGGTACTATGTCTGCTTCGAACGGTTTGCATGGATACTAGTGTCAAAAATTTAGATAAACTTATCAATGATTGCAGTCAAGGGATTTTCAAACTATATGTACCAAATAATCTGTTGACAAAGTGTAGGGAAGGCACTGGCTTTATAGTGGACAGTCAGTTGGGACTGGTTGTCACCAACTATCATGTTTTGCTCGACAATCAGAAAGTGATTCTAAGATTTTATGACAAATTTATTGAAAAAGATGTTATTCAGGGAAAACATTCATCTAATAGTACTAATCTGGTCGACATCCTAACCGGTCGAGTGATTTATGTTGAACCGCAATACGATTTGGCGCTCATCCGTATCTATAACTATGTGTCCAATTCATTGTCCAGTTTAGTCATGTCAACAACCGATGCCAATGTAGGCGACAAATGCATATCAATTGGTTATATCGATATCGAAAATACTGTACACTATGGCTATGTATGTTCAATGTCCTGTCGTATACCCTTAAATAGGGGTAGTCTAACCAATACTATCGACAATTATTTCAGTAGTCTTAATATGGTTACCGTTCATTCGGCAACTGCTTGGCCCGGTTCGTCCGGCGGTCCCCTAATCGATATGGACTGTCGTGTTGTTGGAGTACTTACAGCTATAAAAACATATAAAACCAATATTGCCATAAAAGTCAGTGACGTTAAGGGTAATAATTAATTAATTATAATTGTGTTATCTATAAAAAATAATTATTTCTAAAAAACAATCATAATTTCTATATATTATGTGTATTGAAAAACAAAATTAATTACATAGCATTCATTCAAAGAGGACGACAATATATGGAAAATGATTTTATAAAAATACAAAATGATAGACAAAATCGATTTAAAAGATCATTCAGTTTGGGCATCATTTTGACGGCATTTATAGTTAAAGGTTTTACATATAATACAACACAAGCCAGGTATGTATATGTTTTGTGTGTGTGTGTGTGTGTTATGGGTGGAAGTGAAACACAATATATTATTATTATTTTATGTTTCATACATCAAAACTAATGTAAAATTTAATTTTTAATTTTTTGTTGAAATTACAGAATTCTTTTACAATTGAATGACTTAATAACATCAGTAAACGGAACACAACTCACAGATTTGGATCAATTGACGGATGCTTTGGATAACATTACAAGTGATGAACAGGTTATACAACTAACAGTGCGAAGAGAGACTAGACTGGAGGGTACGGCTAAACGATCACTAAATGAAGTCAACGTTTTTATTAATCCAAAAATCAATAATAATAATGAGTTTTATTTTTAATTAATTAATTTTGTTTTCATCTCAAATGTGAGATTTAATTTTTTTTATATTACAAATATTAATTACTATAATATTAATTTATAATAAATGACTTAATAAAATAAAATAAATGATTTATTACTTTTATATTGAATAGTTACTATTTATATTCAATAGTTAAAGTTATAGTTAATTAATTTATAACTTTAATACTAATCATAACTTTACTAATTAAAATTTATCTACAATCTACTAAAGTTGTAATACTAATACTATTGATAAATTATAGTTTATAAAATACAATATAATAAATATAATTTGAGAGAGACTAAAATCAATCATTAGTTATGACTTTTAATGTAATATAATTTAATGTAATGACTCATTACATTATAATATCACTCAATATATTTTTAAAATTATTATTAGCTTAGTTATTATGAATCGATTGCCTCAGAAATATCAATTGAAAAATATTATAAACTGGTTAGTGATCTGTTTAATCAACAAAATAATATTAAATGAATTTGAATTATTAAATAAATATATTTATTTATTTTTTAGTATCTATAGCTTACTATCGGTTGGACCAAAAAATAAAAATAATAATTGTAGCCTATTGTGGTCAACAAAAGTATCAACAAAACAACTTATGAGTCCGTCAGCACCGGTAACATGTTTGCGAACGGTTCGTTTGGGTGCCAGTGCCGAATATATTCAACAGCTCAACAACTACTGTAATACATGGGTTGTCAAAATAAATGTTATGTTAGATTTGTATGGAAAGGTATCGCAAGGAACCGGGTTTCTTGTAGACGGCGAGCGGGGACTGTTGGTCACCAACTATCATGTTGTAGCCGACAGACAGAATGTGATGATTCAGTTTGCAAACAGGTTTTACGAATCAAATGTTATTCAGTGAAAACATTTGTCCACTCATTCTTTTTTCATACTAACCGGTCGAGTCGTTTATGTTGAACCGTAACACGATTTAGGACTTATACATATGAATCAATATGTGGACAACTCGTTGTATTATTTAGTACTGTCCGATAGCGATGCCCAACCAGGAGATGAATGCATATCAATAGGTTATTCCGATATTTATAGCACATTAAACACTGGATTTATCTGTTCAATGGCCTGTATTAATGAACTAAGTATAGGATCACTAATGAACATTTCAGAAAAATGTACCGATTCTTGTCATACGTTAACCATTCATACGTGCACTGGTAATCCCGGTTCATCGGGTTGTCCCATCATAAATATGAATGGTCAGATTATTGGTATACATTTTGCTGCCAAAAACAGTAAGATCAACAGTGCCACTAAAGTAACTGATATTTTTAGATAAATGATTGTTTGATTTTTTTTGTGTAAAAAACAATATCACAAACTATACAAAATATATTTATATATTTTTCAACAACAATTCATAGCAGTCATTCAAAAAAGGTCGACAATATATGGACAACGAATTCATAGAAATACAAAATGATAGACAAAAACGGTTTAAAAGATCATTTAGTTTAGGCGTCATTTTGACGGAATTTATAGTTAAAGGATTTACATATAATGCAACAAATGTCAGGTATGTATTTGTTTGTGTGTGTGTGTGCTTATATATAAATAATTTCGTGAATATATATATATATATTTTGATTGTAAAGGTATTTTTTTTGACTAAAATAAAACAGACAGCTATTACAAGTGAATGACATTATAATATCAGTAAACGGAATACAATTGACAGATTTGAATCAATTGACGGGTGCTTTGAATAACATAACAATATAAGTGATCAACAGGTCATACAACTAACAGTGCGAAGAGAGACTAGACTGGAGGGTACGGATAAACGATCACTAAATGAAATCAACGTTTTTATTAATCCAAAAATCAATAATAATAATTAGTTTTATTTTTAATTAATATTAACTAAATAGAAAAAAAAAATTTTTATAATATTATTTATTTAATTTAAAAAAATATATAATTATTGTTTTTTATATAATATCTATAATATTAAAATTATAGTATATGCAGCAGTATATGTATTTTATTAAATTATATAAATATTTGATTAAATAAAATTTATGTTTATTTTTTAGTTATATTTATATATAATATATGATTGATTATCATAAATAAATAATTTTTTATATAATATAATGTTATTTATTGTTAATAAGTGAATAGTATTATTAATAAAAATGTTAAATAGTCTTAACAAACAAAATTAATTTAATCAAAATTAATATAAATAATTATTTTATATGTAACTAATTAATAATAATTAATATTGTATTTACAGAATATATATATATATTACTAGAAATTATTAAAATTGTAGTTAAGTTAACTGTAATTAATTACAAATAAAATTCATTATTATTATTGATTTGTGGTTTAATATCAACGGCTAAATCATTAGCAATTGACACCCTTTGCACAGTTAGATGAATAATCTGGTTATCACTTGTAATGTTATCCAAAGCACCCGTCAATTGATTCAAATCTGTCAATTGTATGCCGTTTACTGATTTTATAATGTCATTCAATTTTAACGATTTTCTGTTTTATTTTATGTTAAAAATTTAAACATATATCAAATAACAAAAGTTAATATAAACTGATTATTCACTGACACACACACACACACACACAGTATACATACCTGGCTTGTGTGGCATTATATGTAAACCCTTTAACTATAAATGCCGTCAAAATCACGCCTAAACTGAATGATCTTTCAAATCGTTTTTGTCTATCATTTTGTTTATCAATGAATTCATTGTTCATATATTGTTGACCTCTTTGAAAGAATGCTTTGAATTTTTTGATAAACACATACAGTATATAAATATACAGATTATAATAGATTTTGTTTTTAAAATATCAATTTTTAATTAATCAAAAATTTATAATAAATGTAATCATCATTTACCGTAAACATCAGTTGCTTTGGCGGCAATATTTATCTTACTGTCCTTACCAGAAGAAAGTACACCAATAACCAGTCCGTCCATATTTACGATGGGAGCACCCGACGAACCGGGCGAACCGCTAGACGAATGAACGGTAAACGTTTGACTCGGATCAAGATATCTATCACAAGCGCTCACTAGACATCCGTGACCCAAATCTACCTTACAGGGCGCTGAACAAACTAAACCGTAGTCCATTGTATTGTGGATTTTAGGACAGCCTATTGTCATACATTCGTCGCCGGCTTCGGCATCGGTTTCGGACAGATCTAAACTGGACAATGAATTAGACACATAGTGTGACATACGTATGAGTGCCAAATCGTATTGCGGTTCAACATAGACTACACGACCGGTTATTTTGTTATCGACCTTATTTGACCACATTTTCCCCTCAATTACATCCGATTCGTTAAACAAATCCGCAAAACTCATGATCACATCCTGTTTGTCGGCCACCACATGATAGTTGGTGATAACCAGTCCCGTCAGGTAGTCAACAATAAAGCCGGTGCCTGCCTTTCCTATTGGTTGATTATTTAATTCATATAAGGGTACAAATACTTTGACAACCCATGGCCTACAGTAATGGTTTTGCCGTTCAATATCATCGACACTGGCATCCATGCGAACTGTTCGCATACATATCACTGGTGCTGATGTCCACAATCGCCGACGATTAAAATATTTATCGATTGGTTCAACTGATAATAATAAGCTATACATACTAAATAAAATTTGCATTTATTGAAAACAAATGTTTATTATTATTATTATTTTCTTTGATTAATTAAAACAAATCACTAACCAGTTTACAAAAGTTTTCAAATGATATTTCTGTGCCAATCGATACATCATATTATACTGAACTACTTATTAATTAATTATTTCAATTAAAAATTAGTCACAATTTAAGAAATGTATAATATTTAAGTTAATAATAATTTTTAAAAAATATATTAAATGATATTAAAATGTAATGATTGATTTTAGTCTCGCTCACATTATATTTATTATATTGTATTTTGTAAACTATAATTTATCAATAGTATTAGTATTATAAATTTAGTAGATTGTAGATAAATTTTAATTTGAAATTTATGATTAGTATTAAAGTTATAAATTAATTAACTTTAACGTTAACTATAAAAGTAATAAATGTTTTATTTTATTCAATTAAGTCATTTATTATAAATTAATATTATAGTAATTAATACTTGTAATATTGTGTTGTGTTGCCGTCTTTTCTGTCCACTATATGCGCTGTTAGTCCCGGACCATAGTAGACACACACAACCCGAGATCCGTCCGCTGATAGATCTCGCCAATGATCGCTTGTTGAAAGTCTTAGTAATCCTTAATATCACAGTTAACACAATGAAGTAATCCGAATAATGGTACACACATTATAATAATTAAAAGTATTGTTTATTAATAATTGATTAAATATAAGTATACATCAGTACATAAAATATAACAACCCTGCACTGCCCGGAACTGCTGACCAATGCTATGCAAGTTTATGCATAGCAAAGGCCTGCCAGTCCAGGCAGAGCTTTAGCTACTTTTAGAGTTAACTGTTTAAAGTCTAAACTCTATAGCTCTTGAGCTGACCAGTTTAAGTCTTAGCTCAACACTTGAGTGACTCTTCAATGAGAAGTACCTCAGTATTTATATGCTTTTGAATCAATAGGTCTTATTGTTTGCAGACGACACCAATGAGTGTCGTGTGCACACAAGCCTTACTCTACAATATATAAGTTCCCCTCACTTAGACATTACTATATAAATTCCCATTAATAACAAAGACATTACATTTAACTACTTAATATTCCCACTAATATTCCCTAATATTCCCGTTTGACTACAACCCTACTTATAATAGTGTAACAATTTTAGACGGGATAATTCCCGGGTTTACTCGGGTAATTATCCCTTAATAATATAAGTTTAACTTTTTAATCACGTGACTCCAGGTTTGTCCCGTTGGGACTAAAACAGTAATCCCGTTTACAACTCTATTGTATGTGGTGTCGATACCCATCGATAGATGGCAGTACCGGCGCCACAATACATATACATCATTGCCTGACAGTAATTATACAACAACATAACAATAACAATAACAATAATAATAACTATAATAGATAATAATTATAATTATAAACAGTATTACAAAATAGTATTTACCTTTTAGTATTGTTTACAATGTATTAACAATCAGTATTAATAGTATCATTTAATTGATATACAGTATTACAATTAAAGTCAGTTTTTGCACTACACTAGTCACTACTACTTAACAATATTATTATTAAAACAGTATTACACTACACAATATAAAAATCAGTATTATAACCGAAAAACAATTAGTATTTTAAAAATATGTAACAAAAAATAGTATTAATAATATGTATTTCTATGTAAAAGTATTAGTAAATAAAAAGCCGTAAACCTATAGTATTAGTTAACAGTATTTTTTTAAGTGCAAAATTACATTATCAGTATTTAATATATTTTTAAAGCCTAATCAGTATTAATAAAAAATATTAAATATTTGCATAGTATGCAAAACATATATCAGTGTACTGATATAATGCAATATGAAAATAATTTATAATCTCATATTTGAGATGAAAACAAAATTAATTAATTAAAAATAAAATTCATTGAAATTAATTTGTGGATTAATATATACTTGTATTTCATTTAGTGATCGTTTAGCCGTACCCTCCAGTCTAGTCTCTCTTCGCACTGTTAGATGTATGACCTGTTGATCACTTGTAATGTCATTCAAAGCACCCGTCAATTGATTCAAATCTGTCAATTGTATTCCGTTTACTGATATTATAATGTCATTCACTTGTAATAGCTGTCTGTTTTATTTTAGTCAAAAAATATAATTACAACCAATATATATATTTATATACAGTATATATAAGCTCACGCACAAAAATATACAAATACACACACATACACACACAAACATACACACACACACACACACACATATACATACATATACACACATATACACACATATACACACATATACACACACATACACACACATACATACCTGACTTGTGTTGCATTATATGTAAATCCTTTAACTATAAATTCCGTCAAAATGACGCCTAAACTAAATAACCTTTTAAACCGTTTTTGTCTATCATTTTGTATTTCTATGAATTCGTTGTCCATATATTGTAAACCTTTTTCAATGAATTCTATAAATTATTGTTGAAAAATATATAAATAATTTTTGTATAGTTTGTGATATTGTTTTTGTTACAAATAAAACAATCATTTACCAAAAATATCAGTTACTTTTGTGGCACTGTTGATCTTACTGTTTTTGGCACCAAAATGTATACCAATAACCTGGCCATTCATATTTATGATGGGACAACCCGATGAACCTGAACTACCAGTGCACGTATGAATGGTTAAAGTATGACAATAATCGGTACATTTTTCTGAAAAGTTCATCAGTGATCCTAAACTTAGTTCATTAATACAGGCCATTGAACAGATAAATCCATTGTTTAATGTGCTCTCAATATTGGTAAAACCTATTGATATGCATTCATCTCCTGGTTCGGCATCGCTATAGGATAGTACTAAACTGGACAACGAGTTGGCCACATATTGATTCATATGTATAAGTGCTAAATCGTGTTGCGGTTCAACATAAACGACACGACCGGTTAGTTTGTAAAATAATTTAGTAGACAATTGTTTTCCTTGAATAACATTTGATTCGTAATACGTGTTTAGAAACTGAATGATTACATCCTGTTTGTCGGCTACGACATGATAGTTGGTGATCAACAGTCCCCGCTCGCCGTCTACTATAAAACCGGTTCCATGGGTTACCTTTCCATATATATCTACCGGAACATCTATTTTGACAATCCATGTTTTGCAGTCGTTGTAGAGCTTTTCAATATGTTCGGCACTGGTATCCAAACGAACTGTTCGCAAATATGTTACCTGTGCTGATGGACTCATAAGTTGTTTTGTTGATACTTTTGTTGACCACAATAGACTACAATTATCATTTTTATTTGTTTGTCCAACCGATAGTAAGCTATAGATACTAAATAAAAAATTAAATTAATATATTTATTTAATAATTCAAATTCATTATATATTTTTGTTGTTGATTAAACAGATCACTAACCAGTTTATAATAGTTTTCAATTGATATTTCTGTGGCAAACGATTCATAATTACTAATCTTTAATTATTTATGACTTTCAATTTAACATTAGATACAATAAAAACAAATATTAAATTCAAAATAGTAAATATCTAATGATTAAATGAGATTAAATAAAAATAATAAATAAGACTCGCTCACATTTTATTTATTAATTACTATAATACAGTTTGATTAGATTATAGATAACATTGATAATAATTATCTTTATTTTGCAATATTTATAAATTATTATAATAACATTTTTAGTTAAATTATATTATTTTAATGGCAATTCAAAAAATTATACATATAATAAAGTTTATCAATTTAATACCATTATATAAGAATATTATTAATAAATAAATTAATTTTAATATATTATTTAAGTTTTATTAGTGCAATATTACTGTTTTAAAAAAAATATTGCATAGCCAAACAATAATTTTACTGTATTTTTCAATGGGATATTAGATACACTTTAACATAAATAATAATAATAACTGAATTATTGTTAATTCAAAAAAAAAATTAAAATGTATTTTTATTAATTACTAATTCACAGTTTAGTTTAGTTAACTAATATAATAGTATTATTACAGCTAAATACAAACTATAATGCAAGTACTTAATTTAAATATGATACTAATTAATTTTTTTAAATCTCTCTCTCTCTCTCTCTCTCTCTCTTATTAATTCTTATTTAAAAAAGTAATAATATTCATAAAATGTTATCAAAAAAAAAAAAAAAATAGTCTCATATTGTTATATTAAAATTATTATTAATATTAAAGTTTTAAATTCATTTACTATAACTCTATTTATAATAGTAATAAATATTTTATTTTATTTAAGACTGTCATCTATTTTAAATCAATAGTAAGTTAATAATAATAGGTTGTAATATCAATATTTAAAAAAAAAAACTTATACAGTATTTTATATGAAAAATATGAATGTTAATTAATCAAAAATAAAACTCATTGATATTAATTTGTGGATTAATATAAACTTGTATTGTATCGAGAGATTGTATAACTGTAGCCTCCAGTCTAGTCTCTCTCTGCACTGTTAGATGTATGACCTGTTGATCACTTGTAATGTCATTCAAAGCACCCGTCAATTGATTCAAATCTGTCAATTGTATGCCGTTTACTGATATTATAATGTCATTCACTTGTAATAAATTTCTATTAATTAAAATATATAATTTGAATTTTTAATATATATATATATATATATATATATTAACAATTAGTATATACAGCAACACATACCTGGTTTGTGTGGCATTATATGTAAAACCTTTAACTATAAATGCAGTCAAAATGATACCCAAACTGAATGATTTTTTAAACCTATTTTGTCTCTCATTTATTATTTCATTGAACTCATTGTTCATATATTGTCGACCTCTTTGAATGAATGCTATAAAATGTTTAGCATATATATATATACAGTAAATAAATGTATTAAAAAAATCAATTGATAATTTTAATGTATTAATCATTTACCTAAAACATCAGTTACTTTTGCAGCGGTATTAATCTTACTGGCTTTGCGAGCATAATTTACACCTATAACCCGGCCATTCATATCGATGATGGGACCACCCGATGAACCGGGAGCTCCTGCGCACGTATGAATGGTAAACGTTTGACAACAGTCGGTAGATTTTTGCGAAAAGTTTATTAAAGATCCTATACTAAACATATTAATACAGGGCATTGAACAAACAAATCCGTTGTTTAATGTACTATCAATATCGGGATAACCTATTAATATACATTCATCGCCTGGTTGGGCATCTCTATCGGACATTACTAAACTTGACAACGAGTTGGCCACATATTGACTCATACGTATAAGTGCCAAATCGTATTGGGGTTCAATATAAACCACTCGACCGGCTATTGTATTGACAAAATTATTATTAGACAACTTTTTCCCCTCAATTACTAGTTGTTCGTTAAAGTTATAATAAAACTGAACGATCGCATCGTCAATGTCTTCCACTACATGATAATTGGTTAAAACCAGTCCCCGATCGCTGTCTATAACAACACCGGTTCCTTCCAATACACCGATTCCAGTATATTTAGGTACAGTTAGTTTAACAACCAATTGCTTACAGTTATTGTAGATTTGTTCAATATGTTCGACACTGGCATCCATACAAACAGTTCGCAAACATACTACCGATGCTAATGATGGACACAATTGTTGTCGACAATTATGATGTTTATTGATTGATACAACAGATGATAATAAGCTATAAATACTAAAAATAAAAATTTTTATTTAATAAGTTACATATAATAATTTTTAAATATTTTTTTAATGATTTATTTGATTTATTTTCAAAACATATCACTACTAGCACTACTAGCACTACTACTACTACTACAACTACTAACCAGTTTACAAAAGTTTTCAATTGATATTTCTGTGACAATCGATACATCATATTATACTGAACTATTAATTAATTATTTATTTTAATTAAAAATTAGTTATAAATTAAGAAATGTATAATATTTAAGTTAATAATAATTTTTAAAAAATATATTGAGTGATATTAAAATATAATGATTTATTTTAGTCTCGATCACATTTTATTTATTATATTGTATTTTATAAACTATAATTTATCATTAGTATTAGTATTACAACTTTAAAGTTATGATTAATACTAAAGTTATAAATTAATTAACTTTAACGTTAACTATAAAAGTAATAAATGTTTTATTTTATTCAATTAAGTCATTTATTATAAATTAATATTATAGTAATTAATACTTGTAATATGAAACTAATTTATAATCTCATATTTGAGATGAAAACAAAATTAATTAATTAAAAATAAAATTCATTGAAATTAATTTGTGGATTAATATATACTTGTATTTCATTTAGTGATCGTTTAGCCGTACCCTCCAGTCTAGTCTCTCTTCGCACTGTTAGATGTATGACCTGTTGATCACTTGTAATGTTATTCAAAGCAACCGTCAATTGATTCAAATTTGTTAATTGTATTCCGTTTACTGATATTATAATGTCATTCACTTGTAATAAATTTCTATTAATTAAAAAATATAATTTGAAAAAAATTTAATATAAAATTTATATATATATTTACAATAAGTATATACACTGTATATTATAAAGCAACACATACCTGGCTTGTGTGGCATTATATGTAAAACCTTTAACTATAAATTCCGTCAAAATGACACCTAAACTGAATGATCTTTTAAACCGTTTTTGTCTATCATTTTGTATTTCTATGAATTCGTTGTCCATATATTGTCGTCCTCTTTGAATGAATGCTATAAATTGTTGTTGAAAAATATATAAATATATTTAATATAGTTTGTAACTTTGTTTTTACACATAAAAAATCAAACAATCATTTACCAAAAATATCAGTTGCTTTTGTGGCACTGTTGATCTTACTGTTTTTGGCACCAAAATGTATACCAATAACCTGGCCATTCATATTTATTATGGGACAACCCGATGAACCGGGATTACCAGTGCACGTATGAATGGTTAACGTATGACAAGAATCGTAACATTTTTCTGAAAAATTTGTTAGTGATCCTAAACTTAGTTCATTAATACAGGCCATTGAACAGATAAATCCATTGTTTAATGTGCTATAAATATCGGAATAACCTATTGATATGCATTCATCTCCTGGTTGGGCATCGCTATCGGACAGTACTAAATAATACAACGAGTTGGCCACATATTGATTCATACGTATAAGTGCTAAATCGTGTTGCGGTTCAACATAAACGACTCGACCGGTTAGTATGAAAAATAAATCAGTCGATAATTGTTTTCCTTGAATAACATTTGATTCGTAAAACCTGTTTGCAAACTGAATCATCACATTCTGTCTGTCGGCTACAACATGATAGTTGGTGACCAACAGTCCCCGCTCGCCGTCTACTAGAAAACCGGTTCCTTGCGAAACCTTTCCTTTCAAATCTAACATAACATCTATTTTGACAACCCATGTATTACAGTAGTTGTAGAGCTGTTGAATATATTCGGCACTGGCATCCAAACGAACCGTTCGCAGACATGTTACCGGTGCTGATGGACTCATAAGTTGTTTTGTTGATACTTTTGTTGACCACAATTGACTGCGATTATCATTTTTATTTGTTGGTCCAACCGATAGTAAGCTATAGATACTAAATAAAAAATTAAATAAATATATTTATTTAATAATTCAAATTCATTTAATATATATATTTTTTGATTAAACAGATCACTAACCAGTTTATAATATTTTTCAATTGAAATTTTTGTGGCAATCGATTCATAATTACTAATCATTAATTAGTTATAACAGTCAAAAACAAATATAATATAATAATAATATATTTAATAAAAAATATTTTAAAAATTCAAAATAATAAATATCTAATGATTAAATTAGATTAAATAAAAATAATATAATAAATAAATCACGCTCACATTACAGTTTGATTATTATAACATATAAGTAGATTATAGATAACATTGATAATAATTATCTTTATTTTGCAATTTTTATAAATTATTATAATAATATTTTTAGATAAATTATGGCAAATAAAACATAATAGAAGGTATAGTATTTTAGTAGTAAAAATTGTTAACTTAAAAAAATTATACTTATAATAAAGTTTATCAATTTAATACCATTATATAAGTACATTATTTATTAATTAACTAATTTTAATGTATTATTAGTTAAATATATTACTGTTTATTAAAAAAATTGAGATTAATAAATAAATTTAACATTAAATATCAATAAATTAATTATATAAACTGTAAGTCAATCAATATTTTTTAGTGTGTCGTCTATTATCTTCTTTGATCATTTGTGAGCCTTTTTCGGCAATCATAATAGTGCCGGCATTGATATTACTATTGACTATATCGGGCATTACCGATGCATCGATTACCCGCAAATTGTCCACAAATTTTACCCGCAATCGTTCGTCTACTACAGTATCGTCGCGTTCGGGATCACCCATACGACAGGTGCCGCAAAAGTGATGATCATTGGCACCAATCTCGCGAATCAAACACTTAATATATTGGTCGCACTGGTGTATGGGTTGATCGCGACAGTACTGGCACCGGGGTATAGCTCTGAGAGTACGAATACATGACATGAAATAAATAGTTTTAGAGTATAAATTTATATTTTAATTTAATTTAAAAAACTAACCTTGGTATTTCTATATAATTGCCAAACGGTGTCTTCTCCAGTATGTAATAAACAAATTTTATTGCCTCTTCCAGTGCTGACATATCGTCACTGTTGGACAGGTATTTCGGATCGACCAACGGATTATCAAACGGATCGGTAGATTTTAATTTAACATTGCCTTCACTTTTGATTCTCTTCAAAACGACTAACGGATAGAAAATCTGGTGCCCGACGTATGGCCTATAATAGGCATCCCATTCCTTGCGCACAGACCTATCGAAACCTTTTGTCCAATCAGTTAGACTTTTTATAGGTCGTTCCATTCTTGTAAAGATAGCCGTGTCTGGATATTCATCACTGTCCTCATAGATATCAGTGCCATAGTAGTGAACAATCATCGTGCTAGGCATCAGTGGACCGCTCCGGTCGACATAAAACTGGTATAACTGGTCGGGTGTTAGTTCCGGTCGTATGGCCGGACGGGTATCGTTTTTAAGTAGAAAATATAACGGTACAGCAACGTGATCTTTTAGATATGAGCCAACGGGCAGATCGGCCAACACTGGTATGTCCAGTGAGTTTAGATGAGCCTCAGGTCCGATGCCAGACAGCAGCAGTAGTTTTGGTGTTCCAATAGCACCTGTATTTCATATGAAACACATTAGCATTTGTAAAATTTGCTAATTTGTAATAGTACTAGTCATCGATATAATTGATATTACTATTCAAATATTTTACACATACCGGCGCTTAATATAACTTCATTGTCGGCAAACACCTCATATCGGTCGCCGTTTCTCATAAACTCTACCCCAACAGCTATTGTTCCCTCAAATAAAACACGTGTCACGTGAGACATGCAAACAATATGCAAGTTTTTCAAGTGTAGATTAGGCACCAAATAGGCATTACTGGTACTCGATCTCAGATTAGTTTCTGAATTGATAGTAAACTGCGACAAACAGATACCCGATTGACTGTTGCCATTGATATCAACTGTAGGATAGCCCAGTTCAGTGACTGTCCGATAGTAGGCGGCCATCGATTCGGTAATATTTGTGTAGGACGTGACTGACAGGGGACCAGTCGTTCCGTGATATCCTTGATTTTGGCCAACAATCTGCGGATCGCTATTGTTCTCGGATTTCTTAAAATACGGTAACACTTGATTGTAGGCCCAACCACTAGCTCCATATTCATTGGCCCATTCATCATAACATCGTTTGTTGCCTCTATTGTAGATCATAGCGTTCAATGAGGCCGACCCACCTACTACTTTACCGCTATTTAATATCTGTTCACGATTTATGGCCGATTGTCCGAGAAATTTTTGCGGTACACTCGTATACAGCCAGTCGTGTTGGTCAAACCAGTCCGAATTGTAAACTGCCAAATCGGTAGCCAAATTGGCCGGACCGCCGGCCTCCAACAACAGTACACGTATGCGTGGATTTTCGGCCAAACGTTTGGCCACTACCGAACCGGCCGCACCGGCGCCGACAACAATATAGTGATAGCTGTCCAACCATTCCGATCGTTGACAAACTGATTGTTGCAATTGTTGCCGATATAAGACAAACGCCAGAACCGAATAGATCATCGACGACAGCGATACTGCGGTTTCGGGATTAGGGTTTGGCATAAATTTTAGCAAACTATCCATTTTTATTAATTAATTAATTATTAAAACGATTTACAATAATTATGTTAATAATAATCAAATAATTTTTTTTAATTTTCATTAATCATTATGACTATAATGATTATTAAAGATAATATTTTACACTTTTTTAAAAAAAAATCTTACATTAAACTACTATTTAGTAAATCTAATCTAGCAAGTCATATAATTATTATTTTTTGTTTTTTTTAAATAATATAAATTAAGTTTTTAAAATAAAAACTCATAAAACTTGACATTAATATCAGTTTCTATTTTACTGAAATTAATTAAAAAATAGTTAAAATTAAAAAATAAAATAAATATTTTTGACATATTTATGTCACTGTATTTGTAGAAAAATATGTTATATTATAATTTTTTTTTAAACATATACTTAATATTTTTGATTTACAATTATTTAGAGCATAACTTTGAAATACATATTTTATATGACATATAAATGGACTAAATATTTTACAAACAAAATCAAAATAATAGTAGAGATTTAAAAGAAAATATTATAACACTTTAAACTTTATTTTTTGTTTAATAATAAATATGCTAACTATCATAATATTAAATAGTAAATAAATATAATATATCTCATCAATGAAAGTTTTTATAAATTATGTATATAAGTATTATCTATAACTGTAATGTATTAGAAAGAAACAGTATGTCTAGAAAACACATATATATATATACTGTACATATACAGTATGTAGTTATGCATTAAATAACTGTTAAAACTTATAGTAAACACATTTATAACTAGTGTCTTGATTTCCAACTAAAAAAATTATTTTGTCGGTTTAACGCTTATAACTGGGACTTAGTATGTCCACCGAAGTTGACCAGTGGACGCTATTTCCGAAATTTTATTATAACTATAAATAACTATTTGTTAGGTTAGCAACTATAAAAACTTATAAATAACTATTTCAGTTATTTTGAAAAATATAAGCATAAAATTGTAAAATATTGCACAAATATATGTAAAAACAAAAAGTAATAGTTATATAAATTATATAAAATGTATAAACTGTTATCAACTCATATTACCTTTTTAACAATAGAAATAATTAGTTTATTTATATAAATCATTTTTAAAAATATGCTGAAAACAAGTGAATTATATATCAGTTGAAATATTTATAAGAAAATAAATAACTATTTCAATAACTATTTGGCTTTTTTGTCAACTATATACAACTATTTAATACAGTTTAAATAACTATTTTAACAACTATTTAACGTTTTTTAGCAACTATTATAACAACTATTTAATAGAGTATAAAAAATTATTAATCAATACACTATTTATAACAAACCCTATGTATAATAATGTATTTGAATTGATATTTTTAATACATGCGCTTAATGTTTAAGTGTTTAATGCTATGTAGGCGGGGCTTAAAGTGTTAATCAGTTATTATACACATTATACATAATATACAGATATAATCTATGGTAATTATATACCGGTATGTTTCGCGTTATGAGTATATGTAGACTAGAAATATAAATTGGATAACTTTTCGGAACCAAACCGAAATAATAATTATAAAGACATAATTACTAATCAATCCGTTTTAATAATTAACAATTAAATGTTATTTTAAATGAAGTTTTAAAAAATAATTTTTGTATTATACATGTAAATGTTGTATTATATAAAAATAAACAAAACCGAATACAATCACAGTTTACATCTCTAGTTGACACTTATAATAAAACAATATAAACAATGATATCCTACCCATTAATATATGGTAATAGTATTTATTAATTAGATATTTAAGTATTTTCATGAAATACTGTTTTCTAGACATACTGTATATTAGAGTTATATATATAAGACTTTTAAGCCATTAATTACGACCCGTTTTAATTAAATCAAATCATAAATTTTTTTTTATTATAAATATTATATTTTTATTCAAAGATAGTATTGAGACAATAGTGACAAATAATTTAAAATATTAGTTTTGAAATGTTATGAAAACTTTGTGTAAGTGTGATATAATCTTAAACAAATAATAGTCGACTGCATTTATCTGGCAAATCATACAATTAATTAAAAAATGACCAATAACAATTTTATTAATTTTAAAATTATCTACAACATTAGCCTTGGTCACTTTTTAATTCAATGTATTGTTGACCATATAATTGTAATTAATATCATCTCCGCCGCCGCTGTTTAAGACTCTATGAAAGTGTTGCCTAAAATGTGATGCTATGTCTCACACATGATATCAATGCTTATAATGTGTTTAAGTGTGTTATGTATACATTGTATGGCATACTGTAGCTCATAGTCACACATATAGTGCTATACACACAAAGCCAATCCTATGTGGGGGTCGGTAATGAGGGTCGCCTACTGTCCTTTATATACCTGTATATACCATTGGTATAATAAAATCAATAAAAGCTAAAAATAAATAATTCAAGATATGATACTAAATTAATAGGAAATATATTTTTATTAATTAGTTAAAATTAATTTGTAAAGTTTAAACAAATAAATTACAAATTAAATATTTAACTTATATTTAAATATTAAGATAGAAACAATAGATTACTAGTATTAACATTTTGATTCAAATAATATATGATTTAACTTTTTTTGTTAATTGTTTGTTGTGTTTGCATCATTAAAACTGTATAATTTAACATAAATGCAAATATCTAAAATATAGTAAAAATCAATAAAATAAAATAATTAGTATATTATTTATTTTGATTAATTAAAAAATCAATACAAACAGCAATTAGTGTTGATTTGTTGAGTCGGGCGTAACCACCGATAGTAAAGCCAATTGTATTTGATTTACGAAACAATTGGTTAAACATAAGCCACTCCTTGTAATCCAATTCAGTCAACTGACGGGCATTAAGTTTGTCCAGTGTTTTGGACAGTCGGTCACAACTGGTGTCCCAAACGGAACCACATATTAGACAAGTAATAATCATCTGTATCCACAACGATCCGGCCGTAAAACTTAGTATTTTTGAAAAACCAATAATAGCGGGTGATTGTGATATTTGTGACAACACAAAGATTGATACCATTGACCCAAACACTGTGTTTATTGTGTTAGCAATCATTAAAAACGATAACTGTTTGTCCACTTGTTTGATGAGTTCGGTAATTGTAGTAAACATTTGCTTAAAATCACGCAAATTATGTTCACTATTACGGTTGACCACTAAATCATTGCATCGATTGCTAACATAATTATTATTTGGAATTAATTTTAATTGTTTATCTATACAAAAAAAATTATCAAAAATTACTTATTTATAGTTTTACTGCTATTAATTAAAAAATAAAACAAATATTCTAATTACCATGATTGTTTGCATTTAAATAATTGATACTGGATTCAATTTGTTTGATATAATTTGAACATAACTGTGACAGTATCCATGTTATAATCGGTGGTAGCCATAGATAATAGATTGAAAATATAAAGTCCAGTGTCATTATAAATATAGATATTGTAACACCTGTGCGACTTTGATGATAAAGCATTGTTTGCAAAAACAGTATATCCAGTATAAGTTTATGTAGAATAATGGCCAGTATTGTTGCCAACATTGACCAGTTTAGCGGACTCAACAATTTAGGTAGTCTGGTAAAATACTCATGGACAATTTCAATAAGTTTATATCCGGTCACATTAACGTAATAGACTATCAACGATTTTTGCAGTCTCGACACATAGGAAACTGTAAACATCATATACTGTATATAATTGGGTACCTGTTCTCGTATTTGTTGTGATTGTGGATCCAAATACATCATAATGTTGTTTACAATATTGAATACTACAATATCGACCATCAGTATCAGCCAACCGAATAGACGCCAAAATTGATTGCGACACAATTTACCGGTTCGCTGGTCTATATCCAAACCGCCAAATGTAGTACCCTGTAGCCGAAGCCACCATATACACAATTTTGTCAATAATTGTGCATGCTTATTTAGGAAAGCCATTTTATAACTTGCTATAAAGTTGTTTAATAACAATATTATAGAAAAAAATTATACAATTTTATAAAAATAATATTTTATTTATGAATTATACTTATATTTATTTACTGTATTATGTATACTAACATGAATTTATTTTATTATAATAGCTTATATTTTTAGTACATATATTATATTGATTTATATACATATACTTATGTACAGTATTTTATACCTATTAAACAAATATAATTAATTTGTCGTAAAATATTATTATAAAGTATATGTAATATAGTATTATAATACAATTAATATTTAATTAAAAAATTTATTAACAATGTATTAATATTAAAACATTTAAATCACTTAAATATACATGTATAATAATAAACAAGTAAATTATTTAACATTTATTTAAATAACATATAAATAAATTAAATAAAAATAATGAATACAAAAAAATAATTAATTAGATTTTAATATTATATGATTTAATTATTTTTGTTAATTGATTGTTGTGATTGCATCATTAAAACAGTATAATTTAATATAAATGCAAATATCTAAAATAGATTAAAAATAAAATAATAGTTAACATATTTTTATTAATAATTTTTTATAAATAATAAATTCAATGATAAAAATCAATACAAACAGCAATTAGTGTGGATTTGTTGAGTCGGGCGTAACCACCGATAGTAAAGCCAATTGTATTTGATTTGCGAAACAATTGGTTAAACATAAGCCACTCCTTGTAATCCAATTCAGTCAACTGTCGGGCATTAAGTTTGTCCAGTGTTTTGGACAGTCGGTCACAACTGTTGTCCCAAACGGAACCACATATTAGACAAGTAATAATCATCTGTATCCATAACGACGCGGCCGTAAAACTTATTAATTGTGCCCAACTGGCTATTACTGGTGAGTTTGGTATTTGTAACAACATATAGATAGAAACCATTGACACAAAAACTGTGTTTATTGTGTTAACAATCATTAGATACGATAACT